CATAATCTTATGGTCGAATCTTTTAAAAATATCAGAAATTATGACCGATATTCCTTTTAAAATAAAGCCTCTAATACTTAGAAATTGCTCGAATTCGAGCAACAGGGACACTAGTACTTATTTAATACGCAAGCAGGTTTTTTGTGACAATTACTCCTCCGAAACTACTGAACCAATTGACATGTTCTTGGTGTCATTGGAAAGAGCGTAACGTGAAGTTGTGCAGGAAACTTTCTTTTTAGGGAAATAGTTAGAGGGTGAGGCCCTGGGGCCCTTTTAAGTTTCGTATTTCTCCATAAGATTAACATGGGAAACAAATAGTTATGAAACTCCAGCTGTTGTCAGAAATTAAAAGTGAGAAGAAGAACATATGTTAATTGTAAACAGCCAATAAGTTTGCTAATTTAAAAGTGAGTTTGCTTCAAGCATTTCCTTACTTGGTTGAAATGAAATATTTACTGTTTGAATTTGGGTTGGCGTAAATATTAGAATGAAAAAAAAAAACTAGAGAGCCTGGATAAATTGATATACTAAAAATAAAACTGAATTAACACTGTGCTGCATTTCTTAGTAATCATTGAAAGAGCCGATTTGCTAACTATGGAAACATAGCAAAGTCATCGAACACCACCAAGGAGAAGAAATAGAAAATAATGTGTTTTTTAATTTTTATTTATAATCGTTATTATGGACAACCTAATGCGGCTATGAGTAAGGCTATTTGTAGAAAACACTAAAAAACAAGATCAGCTTTTGAAAAATGATAAGGTATTTACAAGAAATGTTGATTATTATCTGTTACTGTTATGTACATCTTGAGTATTCCATAATCTTTGAGTCGAATCTTTTAAAGTCATCAATAATTATGAATGTTATTCGTTTTTAAATAACGCCTGTAATACATAGCATTGTTCGAATTCGAGCAACAGGGACACTAGTAGCCTATTACTACATCCAAGAAACCTTTCCTAACATTTTCATTGAATGATTTAATTATTATTCACAGTTAAGAGAAACAAAAAACCAACAGAACAACATCAGGCCTTTTACTTTGCATTTTCTCGGGTACCGGTAAATATAATTAACGTTATTGTTTGTAACCAACCAAAAAACGCCAATTGAACAAACAAATTTGTGACAGACAGGTTATGCAGGAAGTCCTTAAGGTAACGAGAACAAATTTTATCTATAATAAAAAAATATTGAAATTTGTAAACTTACTGCTGGCGACAAAAATGGTACCATGCAGGCTACATTATCAATAACAATAATAACAAAGATAAACTTGGACAACCATGCGGCTAAAAGTCAGGAAAAATTTGTAGAGAACACTAAAAAACAATATCAGCTTATGAAATATGATCAAATATTTAGGCTTCAGGAAATGCTGATTATATCGAACTGTTGTGTACATCGTGAGTATTTCCATGAGTTACACACCGATAATCTAATTGAGTTGATTATTTTAAACTCATTGTGAATGAGGCGGTCCATCCCAAAACTCACATTATCCTTATTTTTAAAATTTTCAGGAAATGAAAAAACCTTTCATTACCGGTAATTATCATGACAGTGAATCTATCTATAATATTAAAACGAAACAGTGTTTTTTTATTTCACGATTCTGAATCAACCACTCGACGGATTTTCATGATTTTTGTGTTGAAAGAAAGATCATTTTGAGAACTAGGGAATGTCGAAGCCATAATTTTAGTGTAGGGTCCCAGTTTTTTAGAAATTAAGTTTTAATTTTTTTTAAAGTCTAGCAGCCGACGCTAAGATTCTAAACTAGCTTTTGGCATGAAATAATTTGCTTAACATAACAGCTGTAAACATTCAGCCTTTGTGTCACAAATTCAGCATTTGGATAAAAATGTAAAGACATACTTAGGGTTGACTTATTTATACTATGTGTAATGCTAATCTTTGATACGTTTAATTCTTCTGTAAGAGGATGACAGATTAATTAAATATACATAGTAAAATACTGGGATGTTCAAATTATTTTTTAAAGCAATATTTGTAATCTTTGATTTGTTTTAGAGCAATATAATTTGTTTCAACTAACAGCTGGTTAAATATAAACTATGGAACTATGAGGTTATTTTATTTTTGTCATTGATTATAGGAAATAAGTAAGATTAGTAGATAATTAGACCACAGATTAAACCACAGTTTTAACCAAAATTAATTACACCACAGTACAAATAGAGGCTCTGTACACGAGTCTTAATAAAAAAGGGTAAATGCAAATTATTTTACCGCTCCACTTTTCAAGGAAAGATTAGAAAAATAACAAAGTTAACATGTTTTAATTATTCATGGTAGCTTTTTGTTTGCAATTAATGTTTGTCTGCTTTAACTTTGTTTAGATTAGGCCCGGAAATATTGATGTCATAAAAAGAAGATCAAGAATAATCAGGAATCACGATTTTAAATTACCACCACAACCTCAGCCGGGTTTTATACAAAGATAAACAGATGGATGACATAGATTGAACACAACATCAACATTGACCTAGGATACCTCAATTAGACAAACCATCCTTTTATGAAATCGTGTTCAGTTGTGGTTACGTTTGGGGGCGCCTATATCAGCGCCCCCAAATGTGAAAATATCACTTATTTCAACTATGAATATATTGTAGTTTAAATTAACTAATATGGGAAATTATAGCGATGTACATTTATTCAATGAGGGTGGGTAATTATCAAGGATAGAACTGATAACGGTATGGATAATAAACATTGACAATTACGTCATTAGCTTTACTAGCGTAGCGTGTTTACTTTTTATATTCCTGCTACAATATGTGACCAGTTCTTTTTTTTCAAATGAATGTTATTTGAACCAAACAGCTGTTTCAAAACAAACTGTTATTGTTTTTACTTTTCTTTGTTTACGCTTATTTATTTAGCAATTAATGCAGTGAAATTGATATAAAAAGATAGGTGTGACGATTAGTTTTGATGTTAGGACACCAAAGTTAAATTATGTGTACTGTGAATTTTTTTGGATACTATCGTTTTATTTTAGGTCGTTTCTATTCAGACCTACTGGAAATTGTGTATAGTAGTTGTATTGTGGTGATAATAATTATGGAAGAGGGAGGTATGCTATGGAAGGTGGTATCGTTGACTAGGTCTATACACTTCTCAATTGACTATTACTCTCTCTACTGAAGGTTACTTATAATCAGTGTGCGTCTGTGCGAATCGGCTGCAAATCTCACTTCAACGCTTTTCACATCGTAAAAATTGCAGAATTGCTGTTTTATTGTAAAATTGTCGGATTTAAAATGCATATCGTATAGGCCTATGATGGAATAAAAACATATTTGGTCACACAACATTTGTTTACAAGATGATTTTTCACATTAAAACTGCAAGAAACTTTGTCTTTATATGTGTAAACTAGCTGATCTGAATTGTACACGGTTTTAACTGACTACTGAATTCCCGTACGTAGGACGGGCTAACACCTCGTTACAGTATTATATTTTGTTTCATCCGAAGTTAAAGATATGTGTTTTTGTGTATTATTGCATGCCTTTTCGTCCTAATATGTGTAGTTTTTGAGAAAAAATTAGTTTTAAGTTTGGATAAAGTAAGTTTTGCCCTGACACAAATTGGATAAAGTTCGTTTTGGTTTGACGCCTATGGATGAAGTTAGTTTTGCTCTGACGCCTAAGGATAAAGTTGGTTTTGGAAAGACAGTATACACTAGGATGGCATTAACTAATGGATGGATTAACTAATCAGTTTGGTTTCAAACAATACAACAAAATATTAACACAAAGACCTAATAATATTGCTTGTTTTCATATAATATTTTTAATATTAATATTTTTTAAATATTTTATAACCTGGAAATGTTATAAATTATAAAAAAACCGTTTCATTAATTATTTTTATATTTTGCAGTAAAACGAATTACCATACGGAAGTACAGTTCATTAGACGTTCTCTAAACTATAAAATGAAAAGTGAGAAAATTACTATGTTAACATCTTTCAAATTGATTGATTGGTACTTTAAGAGCAAGAGTACCCTTCTAAACTACAAAACTGTCATCTTGAGCAGGTCATACTTCACAATACTCCTCCTCGTGTGGTAGTCCGACGACAGAGCCAAAATGACAACAAAGTCACATTACTGAATTCAGGCCACCGATTGGGTAAGAGGATTAAGATGGTTTTGGAAAAACAAAGAATACACTCCCTCCTATTATGGTGGATTATGTGAGTTTTCGAATGATACAACCGAAATAAAGTGAGTTTTGGAAATTACACAAACTTTTTAACATTAAATATTAGTAGGATTAAACAAGTTTTGACACGATATTTTATAACAAATAAATGCGCCTTTATCTGCTGAATGCAGTGATACCAATAACTCAAATTCGAAAAAAATTTATAAAGTAATTTTTTGAATGGACCGCCCCAAATATGACTGTTATTCGTTCAGAAATGTAATACTTTGCAATTGCTCGTATTCGAGCAACATGTACACTAGTCATAGATAAAACATACTATGATGTTGATTAGTTTATGGGCAAATCAAATTGAATTAAATCAAAATAATTTATTCCAACAACAACAAACAAATATTCATTAAAAAACATACATAGAGAAAAACAAGTAATCATACATAATATTTCACTTTCTCATGTTTTGGTTTTGTACATTCAAAACATGTTTCCACATTAATTCTGTACCAGTCATTACATTTAAACACAACTACACATTTCAAAAAGACTCTATGATGGCCAAGCAAGACAAGATGGAGGTAAGAAAACAGAGTAAATAAAACAGATTACAAACAGGAAAATGTATTTGCACAAAGCAGTCCTCACTTGACACCCTCTCTTTGCAGTCAGAATGTCAGAAGGTAAATAAGGAGAACGGGTAAAAAATAAGAAGTGCAAAGAAATAAACCACAGGATAATTATTATAAAGAGTTAGCGGAAGGGAGGATGGAAAATAAAGAGCAAAATAAAATATTGCATGCAGTAATATTTATTTCACAAACTATACCTCGCTGGTTTTCCCATTTGGAAGACGGAAAGCTGCGTATTTCCTAGGCAGGTCTTTAAAGTGTGCTGGCTCTTCAGATGTCCCATGGAGAGTGAGTATAAAACCCTTGATGTAGCCGTTGTAGGGTCTCACGTTTTGTATTCTCTACACAAAGCAAATTACTTAAATTAGTTTTTGAGATTTATCATAATGACCCAAAGATAAACCTGTTTGTTGTGTGTAAACAATTGTCTTTCGGCGCTTGTATTTAACGTAACATAAAACGTGTTGTTTAGTGTTTGAAAGAATAATTATTTGTAAGCAAAATGTTGGCAAATAATGAAGACATTGAAACAAAGTATAAACCTGTTGTTGCATGTTAACAACATTACAAACCAAAAATTAAATTCATATTTTGATTCATTAGGTTTGTCAAATTTCATTAAGATTTGTATTTGCTAATTTTTGAATTTGTTAAACAATTAAATTTAGGTTTTGATTTGTTTGTGAGACAATTCCATCTAGGTTTTGATTTGTTTGTGAGAAAATTTCTTAGGTTAGAATTTGTTACAGTCTTGTGAAAATGCATGGTAAAAGTTAACCTCTAAATACATTCAATTACCCATTATTTAACACACTTTATTAGTAATTGTAGGACAAATATAATGTATAACACAAGTGCAAAGTCTCTTTCCACTGGCCTGCGGCTTGTGCGTAAACTTTACATGAGAAGAGTTTGGAAAACACTAATCTTAGTAACTCGGAAATGAAAGTGTACTAGATAGCAATGGAAGGTTGGCAACACTTACTGTAGCCTTGACCTCTATCTCCCACACTCCCTTAGGGTCTTCTCCCCAGTTATGTACAGACTTGATGCTCCAGTTTTGTAGTCCATCTTTGCTACTGTCCTTTGGCCGAGGCTCCAAAAGAGTAGTCTTCGTTCCTGTTTGAAAGAAGGACAAGACAAAATTTTTAATGTGTAGTTTTGCATAGATAATCTGCTTAGTGTGTATTTATACACTTGGAAAATTATATCGCCCGCCTCAGGTTCAAAGGACCGTTGCAATATTGCACTATAAAACATGGTCAGGTGATTGAAGTAAGAAGTTTCAACTAACGCATTACTTACAAGTCTCTAAATATTCAGAATTTACCTGTTATATTATACAATATGTATAAGTATACTGTAAGATTAAAGTCTGTTCAAAGTTTTGGAGGTTTGAGGGGAAGCGATTCCATCCCCTTCACCTCACCTTAACTCTGAAACATTGGCCGACAGCTGATCAGCTGATATATAGATTATGCTAAAAAAAAGTGGTGAGGGAACCCAAGAAAGCTTTCCCTTAAACCACCTAAATTTTTTGAACGGACTATTGTAATTTAATATTGGATCAAACATTTAACAACTTTGAGTGGGATAAGTCTTTTTTGTAAACTGCCAGTCATGGGCATTACAAGTAAAAAAAAAAAAAAACCAACTACAACAACATTAATGGTAATCCAAACACCAAACTGTTGAGTGGAACCGCCAACAAACAAACTCATGTAGGGGAAAATTATTTAAGAGATAAAAGATTTAAAAAATCTATGAGAAAGCAAAAGGTTGACGTCAAAACTCAGGTTTCCTATCAGTTAGGCTTCCTCTCAGTATTGTCTTTATAAATTTGAAACCAAAAGGATTACTTTTTATTATCAGACAATGTATGTGAAGGAAGGTGTTTACCAACCTGAAGGAGAAGTGATGGTTATTGTTATGGCTCCTCTGTAGGGATACTGGACAGTAGTTGTAACCTCTAACTGCTCCAAGAACTTGACATTGTCTTCTTCTTTGTCTAGACAACCATCCACGTCAAACTCAAGATCAGCCACTTCTCCCACTGTGAAATATATGGGCGATCTGCAATTTATTCATCCACATAAAATTTAGGCCTACATCATAATGTTTTCGTATATGAACGTCGAAATACTCTTTTTTGTCATACTATGGAAATACTATTTTTTCAGCATAATCAATGACGTTTTCATACAGTTTTAGATATTCCATCCTTATGGCCGCAATTGTATCCTATTTCTTAAAAAAATAAACCATGTTTAATCAGGGACTCACATTGTATGCTCTTCTGTCAAATTACTTTTCCACTATTAGCTTCTGATACTTTGATAATTTACCTCACACATAACATGCTATAGTTTGTAAGTTTTTCTTTAAGTCTGGCTTGATTATAAAGTCTATGTATGCAACAGAAAACAATAATTGATAGTAGCACACTCCGTCATTCGTCAGTGGCTCGATTCAATAATGCAGTTTCATTCACAACTTTACACAGAAATAGGATGTCTATCATCCTCCATAGTCCAAGGAACAACTCACTAAGCTAGAACTCCTTCAACTTAGCAAACAAGTCTCGTTTGAAAAGGATTTAAAAAATCACATTTTAATCAAGTCAAATATACAGTTTTATTAGATTCCATGTTTTGTCACCTACATACATGTGTATCCTAAGGCAGGGTGCACACTGGAGAAACCCGTTTCAGCAAACTGGTTTCATCAAATTGGTTTCAAGGAAACCATTTCTTTAACAAATGCACACAGAAGAAACGGGATTCCATCAGTTTCGTGATATGAATTCGGATGATGATGATGTGACTTATGAATTCGAATGATGATGATGTGACTAATTGGTGATGGCTAAAGAAAACTAAAAGAAGGAAGTATTGGGTTCACCCGTTGATTAGGGATGGTCAACACAGTACTTACATTGTAGCTCGTTAATTATGCAGTAATCCTGTAATATTTTTAGATTTTTAAGAATGCCAAAGCCTCTTTTTGAACGTTTAGTGGAATTACTTAGCCCACTAATAAAAAAGAAGGACGCCAACCGGAGGTTAGCTCTGTGAGCTGAGGAAAAATAACAATACATTGAGGTAAGTCAAGAAAACCAATAGAAACGTGAAACTGAAGCCTATACGAAATCTGTTTTTTGGATTTCATGTAAACCAGTTGCAAGAAACAAATGAAATTACAGTTTCATGCAACGCAGTGTGCACTACCCTGTGTTAAACTAATCCATCTGTTGCGAGCAACTAAAGTTTCACGTTTCATGAAATTGGTTTCCTGAAACGGATTTCTCCAGTGTGCACCCTGCCTAAGATGAAGGTGAGTGAACATGATGAGTTCTGAATTATTGAGATGACAGCTATGTTAATTACTAAGATCAGTCAGTTCTTTACTCGGTATCATGTATTAAGATCTCAATGCTGTATGCTTTGTGTTTCCTTGTTACATTCAGTGTTCCTTTGAACAAAAAAATCTATCCTTTAAAAACATACATTTTCTTAGCTTAGAGAAAAACATTTCAGTGTTTGACTTTGGTAAAAACATAAATGGACTGATACGAAACAATTCAGACAATATTTTGAGAAGCTCCAACTTATTAAACTCTCATTTTGACTACGTTGCTGATTTAACGATACACAATCAATCTGCCCTTTCAGACAGTGGCGGACACCTGGGCAAAGAGCTAAATGTTAATCTGAATTTAAATTACCCAATACGTTACTCACTCAGGATTGAGTTTGACAACACAAGTTTTCTTCTTAGGTACGTTTGTCCAGCTCTTGGCCAGTTTGACCATGTTCTCTGCATTGAGGAGGCCGAACCCAAAGTCGTTGCTGACCCAGAAGCCTCGGCCATTCTTGTACCAAATGTCTCCATTATCTGCTACCGGTGCTACCTCGGCTCCCATCGATATTATGTGGTAGATGTCTCGAACTGTCAGCTTTGGGCTGGATAGGAAAAAAGCCTATTTATGCAATTCTGCAGGAGAAATTTTAAAAGATTTATATATAGTTTGCAAAATGGCGAGAGAGTTTAAGATTTTTATTAGTATGTGTAATAATAATCATGATGATTATTTTAATTACTTCCGTATTTGTGAAAGATTACACGAGCCACAGTTGTACCAAAATCTAGTAACTTTGCTGCATCTGTCTTTTCTGAGTATAATATATTTTCCGGGAATGCGTATTTTAAACTTTACATAAACAAGCAAGCGGTTATCGGTAGTCTTGGTTTGGTTTACTCTTATAAAAAATACATTAAAGTAATCAGGTTCATAGAGTTTATTTAGTATTTTAACTTCGTTCAAAACCTTAAAAAAACAGTATCGGGGAGTTGATTTAAGTCAATCCTCATTAACAGCTACTTAAGAAATAAGAAGTCAGGGTAGTTGAATCACTTCACTTTGAAAAAATAAAATTCTGAAAAAAAATCAATCTAGAACAAATTGTTTAAGATGTGTCGTTATTGTTAGTGCTATGCTTACTTGGCTTCCAAAACAAGAGCAATAATGCCTGAGGCGATGGGGGCCGCCGCAGATGTTCCACCAAAGGAAGTGGTGCATCCACCATTCAGGTCTATGGTGGCCTGTAACAATCACAGGTAGGTAAAGTAGATAAGTTCTGCAAAGTTTGAAAATTATGGCTAATAAGTCAATTCAAGGCCCTACCATGGTGATTGAAGTCGGAAGCAATATATTTGAAGAGAAATATTTGATCAACATCAGCTATTCAAACGTAAGTCAATATGAAAAATGTATCAAACTACTGAAGATGCTACAATAGGAGGAGAAGTCCAGTTGCAGTATCCAAGGTGAATGGTTGAACTTTAAGATTCAAGATCTTTATTTTTCATTAAGTAATACCAGTAGACATTGTCATTATTGTTTTCTTAAGTTTAACATACAATCAGTTTTCTTTTAAAGAACAGCATGAATGCACCAAGTGAATAGGTAAAACCATGCCTTAAATAAAATCTAAACTTAAACAAATTAACAATTTACATGGAATGGTCAGTAACAAAAACGAATATCCTCTAAAAAAAAATTGTAGGAGGTAAGCACTTTCATATCTGTAATAATACATAGTACCATTGACTTTTAGTTTAGGTATAGTAGACGTGGATCGGCTGTCACTAATTGTTTTTGTTGATCAAAAGAAAGTTTTTGTTTATTTGAATGAGCTACTCCAGAGTGGGCTACAGTCAACATTATTTCCACTCTTAGTTGTTGATACTAAGATAGTGGATGTGACATAAAATGTACCACACAGCTTAGCTGATAGTTTGACTTGGTTGATGTAAAAAGTTGATCTACCGTATTCCACAGAAATCAGTCATTTACATCTGCTTACACTGTCGGTGACTCTCCATTTTTATAAAAATCTAGCGACAAAATTATTATGGGGATGGAATATCTAGTTCTATCAATAGTGAATGCTCAAAGCCCTCAAAAGGTGACTGAGGTGATACTTTTACAAACCTCTTCACGATCAAAGCAATGAATTGTTCCATCAGTTTTAAAGAATATATTGTACTTACCACTTTCTCATCATTGCTGTTGCCCCCGGAGTATGCACCGGCATAGATAGCTGTGCACCGCTCGCTGTAGTACACAGTCTTGCCATTCTGTGACACGCTGCTGATTCCGATCGTGTGTGCATTGTTGACGAGTCCATCAGCACCACAGTTATCTCCCTGGTGCTTGCCGTTCCCTCCTGCGAAAACGTAGATAGCCCCTTTGCCTTTCCTACCCTAAAAATTATCAAACTTTTAGCTTAAGCTTCTTATGTTGCAATATATTAAGTACTAGTGAACCTGTACGGCTCAATGCCCCGCAAAAACATATGAAATTAGAAAACAAATTCATCGTTATATACTGGGTGGCGCATAAAGAACGCATGGATTTGAGTTGAGTGGTGAGAGCAATAGGAGCGTAGTGGAGGGACTGGGCCTGGTTGTTTTGTAGGTTAGGGTGTCCAGTTTTAGTAGCAATGGTGCAGTGGTCCGTGTTACATCGCATTTTTGCGGTAGAACATTTTTTCAAAAGTAATTAAATCTGTTCAACAGCTTTTCTGCACAAAGTATGTTCCGCGAGTCCTCAAAAAAGTACGGTAAGGCCCAAGAATTCCCACTTTCGAAAGTTACACCAAACGTTAAGTTTCAAATCGTGCAGTGGTTTTTGATGCAATTCTTTTGGGTCTTCTGCTGCCAAATAGCGCCAGTCCTGCTTATTGACATAACTATCCAAATGAAACTGCACTCCGTCATTAACATCATAAACAAAACGCCATCAGTGGAAGAACATCAACCATTCTCAGTTTTCATTGTTTGTTCGTAATCGTTCATTCATTGTTCGTAATCACGTTCATAAATCTTCTTTACGATCATAATTTTGTAAGGATAAAATTTTAACTCATCTTTCAGGTTGCCCTGCAACGAGCGTCAAGCGGCGAGGGCTTTGAATAACAGACGTCCTTACTCTGTCGACATTTTGTGGAGTTCGCGCCGTGCAAGGACAACCAAACCACTTCTGCTTCATAGCTGATTCAGTTGTGCGAAAAGAAGCTACCCAACAAAGTATTGTGTTGCGATCGGGTTTTGTTTTGAACCATTGAACTATGCACGGAGAAACCATTGAACCGTTATATCAGATTCATTATTTTTGAATAAATGTTCTACAGCAAAAACGCGATGCGCCAGGTCAATTGCACCATTGCTACTAAAACTGGACGCCCTAACCTACAAAACAACCAGGCCCAGTCCCTCCACGGACGCTCTTATTGCTCTCACCACTCAACTCAAATCCATGCGTTCTTTATGCGCCACCCAGTATATTGACTCGTCGAAAATTAAATACAGTAATAATAAAGCATTAGAAGGGAGGCAATCCAGCTATTTTCTAGCTGTGTGCGTATTATATTTAGTAAATTAATAAGTGTTCAAGTTCAAGTATGTTACAGGGTAGTTATTTTTTAAAAATTTTTAAAAACACATTTAACAAAACATTTTATTATATCAAACCAATAGGCAGTGAATGTAGCATATACCTATGTAGCATATTTTGAGGGTCATAAAATGCTGCTTGATGAAAACACTTTTAAAAATAAACACTAAAAACAATATTTTTTTCACAAACGCACTTCCATAAATACTACGATTTTAGTTATAAAGTTACCTTCAGGAATATTACCCTGGTCAGAATTTTCCGTAATGAATATGCTTATCCTACTATTAAAAGATGTATCCTTACTTAAGCTAAGAACATTGCTGCTCTTTAATTAAAGTGCTTGTGCTGCAAATGTCAAAGATAACAGAAATTAGCATCTTTCCATTTTAAAAGGTAACTTTGTTTCAGACGGGCAAATTTTTTATCATCGAAATCAAAATATGTCCTTACTGACTTGTTCCATGTTAAGACTTTACATTCTACTTTACATTGTTGTTAACCGTTCTGATCACATGAAGCCTTGTGCCATTAATGAGGCCCTTTTTGATGTATTAATATCAATAAAACCACTGCCTCCTTTTATTAGTATAATCTGTGTCTTGTCAATCCACTGACCTCTATATTTAAAACTCAGTTGTATTTTCTAGATGGGTGCCTCTGCCTTCGACTGTTTTCGAGGACCCACTCTTCCCCTTGGCATACTGACAATTAATTACCTAACTTGTAAAGTTCATGTAGTAGTTCATTAATACTGTTAGTTTATAAAGAAAATTAGATAAAAGGTACTTGGCTTGGTGCTTTCATAACTGCAAACTCAAAATACACCCACAAGTAAAAAAGAATCAAGTTATTGGTTAAAAAAACTATGTTTGTGTAAAAACATTATTCACATGAAGTAGATGATTTGTTTGATTTCTCGATCAGCTGTTTCGTTTGAATTAATAATTTCAAAGATTTGTGATTTTAAATACATCAATTATTATAGTAAAGTTTTCTAAATATGGTAACTTATTCTCAACAAAGTTTTACTATTCCCAGCATGAAAATAAAGTAGTGAGATCCATTATAAGTAAAGTTTAAGGCACACAATCCTTGATTGAAATGTAGTATACATTAACAGTCATAATACACAGCAATTATTATGTAGTATTCTTTGACTATTTTCAAGTAACAAACATATGTTTCTGTAAATAAAAAATAACTCCCTTGTTATCCTTATGGAGAAATACGAAACTTTAAAGGGCCCCAGGGCCTCACTCTCTAATTATTTCCTTAAAAAGAAGGTTTCCTGCACAACTTTACGTTACGCTCTTTCCAATGACACCAAAAACATGTCAATCGGTTCTGTAATTTCGGAGGAGTAATTGTCACAAAAATCGTGCTTGCGTATTAAATAAGTAGGCTATAGATTATCTAGGTTACGTACCTTATACAGTCAAAACAGTTCTGAATTTAGTCACTAAAGGACGATGCGCATTTCAAAGCTTTTGGCCGGCACATGTACCTGTATATATGTAATGAATTATGTGTTAGTGTTATGTGTTTTTAATGTTTAAAAATTTTGACGAAATAGCAAGATGAATTGATAAATGTATCCGCGGACCTGAAGATAGAGCTTAAAAGCTCTGAAATGCGCATCGTCCTTTAGTGACTAAATTCAGAACTGTTTTGACTGTATAAGGTACGTAACCTAGATAATACTTTGAATAACAGTTCAGGAGGCAAAATAATGAATAAAATATATTAAGGTGAAAACATTATTTGAATTGACATCATCTAATTTAAACAAATTGCTGTTTAAAGAGTGTAAGTAATCACTAATCAATTTGTGATATTAAGTGAATGTTTGATAATTTACTTTTTTATATTGTTTAGGTGCAGTGGTAGAGAAGAATGGCTATGGTAGATGTTAATACTAAACTGTATATACTATACTATATCTGTAATACTATAGCATACCGTAAATATTAAGAACCAAATTCTCTCAAACCTTATCCTCCCCCATTGCAAACGCAAAGCTAGATTATAAAACTGTAATAAGCATTTTATACTTATATACGCCAACCCCGTACGAAGAACGGGTACTCTGCTAGTAGCAATAGCCTGAAATAGCCACTCAAAACTATACTTTTTTATAAATAATATAAATAAACTAAACTTATACACTCAAAACTTATAAATATTCTGCCTGATTTTAGACTGTAGGAATAGTGTATACAGTATTATGTTTGGGAAACACTAACAGGTGTACTGTGTACTACCATGGTGGAAGGAAATGGTGTACTGCATTGTATTGGTGTGATAAAACAAATGATACAGTTAACAATAAGTTGTATATTCAGTTTGGCTTGGTTTAATTTGCTTATCTGACAAACATCTGTAATTTGAATATGGATTTTGGTACATCGCTTTGTACATAGGATAATACGTTTTGTGATGTTGGTAGTCCTTTTGGTAAATGTTGATGTGTAGCCTATGTGAAGACTATCTGCGGTGTCTGGGGTCTCAAATATAATCTGTTTAAGTCATAATGTGTTTAAATCTTTTACCACAGATCAAGCAACAAAACTTTAAGTAGGGGCTCTTTTCAACTGAGTTCATGTTTATTCTAAAACAGCGCCTACACCATATTTCTAGTTCTATTCATAGTCAAAAAAGGTAGTAGAAATTCAAGCTTTACCTCTGAGGCTCCCTTGTCAAAAGCCTGATCTGTCATACGGCCGACCTGCTCCATGATCTGTCCGTCGTCTGCTGGTCCCCAAGAGTTGGAGTAGATGTCAAACTCTTTCAACATGTGTATCAGACCTCGAGCTTCCACGTAGTCTACAGACCGATGACCCAGTACCTTTACTCCTGCAAAAAAACAACCTTGCTGTAAAAGATAGAAGTTTTAATTTCTAGGAAACGTTTTGTTGAAATAACACTTGAGACAGACTTAAGGGAGAAATTTAAATTTCATGGTAATAAGGAAAGAAGAGAAAAAGAAGAAGCAGTGTGTGGTTTAAGTTACTTTGTTTCATTGTATGTGAGTGACTTGGAATAATCTTAACAAGGTTGATAAAATATGCCACCTGTTAACTTCTAAGGTAAATCAAGGAAACCTCAACTTTGATTTATTTTAAACCTTGCAAACACAAGGAAATCTTATACTGTAGTATACTGTATGTCGAAAAGTGAATTTCATTTCAATAACATTCACAGTCGATTACGTGCTCGTTCAGCGCGTGCTCGTACAGCGCACCAAAAAATGGCGGAATATCGTGCTCGTACAGCGCAGTCTACTTGGAACGCCCGTCTGTCTATCTGTATGGCTACCTGCTCTGTATTTCAATGAACTAGCGGTACGAGCTTTGGGCTTTGTTTAATTTGTGAATGGCTGTATAAGTCCTGATTAAAGCAACGGGTAATGGTTAGCTGGTCCCGTAATCCGAGGGTCGAAAAAGGTTGGGGCAATAAAACGACTCCACTGGTCCCGAGAGGTCCAGGTAGTTTTGGGGCGGCTAATCCAGTGGGGCAATGAGGCATGAAGCGTGATGTAAACAAACAATAAATTCTTGCAGTCCTGTCCTCGGCAATGAATGGTGCGAATTTTGGAATTCCCTCGCCAGGTCATCATCCCATCGCGAAGCTCTAAACAATGCATCACTTCACTCTAAACGTCAACAACAGCAAATACTTGCAGCGCTCTCGGTATCAAAGAATGTTGCGAATTTGGGGTTTTGTAGCACTCACCTACCATAAGGGGAAGTTGATAAATATACCTTTAAACATCTATGAGAGAAGTAAACAAAATTGAGTACAAGAGGTAGTAGGCCTACTGTAATAAGCAAAGTTAGTAGGGATATTTATGCTCAAAATCAAATGTTAAGGGGAGAGAAGGAACGTGGAGGAAAAAGAAGACTGCAGCAATGAAATACTTCATCGACAAAAAGCTAGAATCTCTTTCAACAGGGGAGATCAACCTGGTAACTTTTAGCGAATTTCCCCTATAGGGAATAAGCTATTACCGTAGTACTCATGGTGAGACCTGGACCCGGGACCGATTTATTTTTTTCGTTTTGAGGTCCCTAGAGGCAAAAAACACCATCCGTTCAAATTCATATATAACACCACACCGTCCGTTAGCGCGATAACTCGAGCAAAAATGTTCCGATTTTGATGAAATTTGGTACAAACGTGTAAACCTATGTTTATTCGAACGAGTTCGCGAACCAGCATGATCGGACTATGGGAACCGGGGGTTATGGAGGTTTTTATGGTGTTTTCCCATTTTTTACTCTAAAAACTTAAAATTTAGCAATTTCTATTCAAACCATTTTGTAGAGCTTAAAAAACAAATTATTTAGTATATTAAAGCGTTATTATGCGCCTAATTGTTACGGAGAAAATTCCAAAAATCTGTTATTTTAAAATTCCCATGTTATTCTTATGGAGAATAAGTTAACTGTTGTAGTTTGCTTGTTTATGAACATATTTTGATCAAATTTGGAAAATGCATTAATTTCATACTAAACTATTAACATAAAAAAAAACACATTGTTACCCTCCCTGTTGCAGCAAACCTAAGTAGGCATACTCGTTAAACTAATGTTATTTAAATCCTACTAATATTATAAATGAGAAAGTTTGGATGTATGGATGTATGTTTGTGACAAGTAAACGCGAAAAATACTGGTCGGATCGGGCTGAAATTTGGTGTGATGATAGTTCACATTCCCGATTAATATATAGACGCATTCTTATCTGAAAAGTCCTTTCGGGCTCCACCCATACTCGGGCTCTGGAGTTTTCCATGTTAACCTTATGAGTAATCATATTTAAAAGGAATAAAAGAATTTTGTCAGCTGTTTCAACTACACAAGTCAAGTTGGTTCTATGATATTAAATAGCATTAAAAAGTTATAAGGTTTACCAACAGGGTGCAGTACTATTAACTTTTACTTTCTCCCCCTATACCATAGTATATGGAGAAAGTATTGTTTTCGTCAAAATTTTCGAGTTTGAGTTTTGAGTGGATATATTCGTTTTGGGTCCCCCTGGACCCAAAAAAGTGGTTTTCGAAGTGATGTCTGTGTGTGTGTGTGTGTGTCTGTGTGTCTGTGTGTCTGTGTGTCTGTGTGTCTGGATGTGTACAGAGCTAGAGACTACACCTGTGGTCCGATTTCGATGAAATTTGGTATGTAGGTTCTAATCCATGGTATCTCCAGGCGTTTTTTTCATTTTTTTGAAATTTTGATTTTTAATGGGGATTTTCCCATAAAAACCCATAAAAAACTGGAAAAATCGGATTTTCTCAAAAATGGCCCGAACGATTTTGATAAAAATTTAGTATGTTGTAGCCCTTTAAATTCTGAACAAAATGGTACAAATCCCATTTCTGTAAAAATTACGGTTCAAAAGTTATGGTAAATTATGTTATTTTCCCTTAAAAATCCCATAAAATAACGAAAAATAGGATTTTAGACAAAAAAATCCGTTTTTATTTAACATAGTATGTTATGATCCTTACAATTTTGATAGTTTTTCTCATTTCTTAGAAATTTTTATTTTTAATGGATATTTTCCCATAAAACCCCATAAAATGACGGGAAAAAAAGATTTTCCCAAAAATGGCCTGAACGATTTTGATAAAAATTTAGTATGTTATAGTCCTTTATATTCTGAACAAAATGGTACAAATCCCATCTCTGTAAAAATTACGGTTCACAAGTTATTGTAAATTATGTTATTTCCCCATAAAAACCCCATAAAATAACGGAAAATCATATTTTCCCAATATTGGCTCGAACGATTTTGATAAAAATTTAGTATTTTATAGTCCTTTAAATTCTGAAGAAAATCTTACAAATCCCATTTCCGTATATTTACTCTCACCGCTTACACATGATAAAGGTTGTTGACAAACTTATGGGAGAAAGTATGTGTCAGAATGCTGATACCGTTTATTTTGCATTTTGTGTCCTCTTCCCGTTGCAAAGCACGGGTACAACAGCTAGTAGGGAATAAATGTGAAATTTTTAAGGATACATTTTAGTGTAAAACCAATCAGGCAAATGGAAAATCGCTTAGTCTGCAGGTTTGCTGCGGCGGGGGTATTTAAAAATATGTATCAAACGTTTCCTTACCCAGAGAGGTTTAGTCGAGGGGAATAGAGTCTGTAAATATAGTTTTTAGTCATTTGTAATATGGTAGTTTGTTTGTAAAATCTTTGTAAGCATTAATTTTGTCGTATTTTTAGTTTTTTCGTATATTTTATGAGTTTTTTGTTTTGTTATCAATTGTAAATATATCTTTTCCGCAATTTAATTTCATATATCATCGTATTTGATCTGGTTTTTGATCAATGTTTAAGTCAATTTTTGTGAAATATGTTTTTAAATGTACTTAGTTATTATTAAATCGTAAATATTCATCTTTTAGCTGTGTGCCCGATCTACTCACGGGGATCTTATAGTGGTCAGTTGAAACCTTCCTATATAAAGAACAGCAGTTGGTTTGCATATTTTCAAATATGCTGGCCAAACTATTATATATAAACAAATACAGTATCCGACAGTTTCAAGTAAAAAAAAAAAAAAAAAAAAAAAAAAAAAATGCGTAATAGAACTATAAGGGGTACACTTCCATATCTGTTGGCACAAACAACCAAATGAGTAATATTGATTATTCGATTGTTTAATTCGTATCGTTTGGTTAGTTAGGTTAGGTTAACCTTACCTAACTAACCAAACGATATTTAGTTAAAATACTATACCTCAACCTCGCTATTAAACATTCAGGTTGGAAATTTCACTAACGATCCCAAGAGATAGGCAATTGGTCTATTTGCTGTATGGTCCAGCGAGCAGCACATAGCGTTGAGAAGACACATTGGAAAAGCGATTTGAGCATAATCCGTAAACCTCTGTTACAATCACCCACTGCAGTTGTCACTTTACACTTTACACAACCACCATTGAAGTGCCGTTAATGAGTTTAAACCTTTTATGTAAGCTATTGGTAATGCTTATGTAAAAAATGTAAGTTTCCCAGCCATATAAAACACTGATTCAAGGTCTTTTTCCCGGTTATCAAAACTCAAAAAAACTTTTATACACAAAGAATCTCTATTTTCATTTACGGTTACCCCACAAATTATTGAACTTGCGATTAATTAAATCCGTTATGTAAGGAAAAACTGTTTTAATCCAACTTGGTTTGGATTTGCTTTTGAAACGTGATCGGAAATGATTGCGGTATTTGTAAATAACATTAAATGTAAACATATCAGTGACATCTAGAGAAAAATAATCTTGATCCGAACAGCTGTTCGCTATTTCATAGATGATTATGTGATAAAAATTGGGAGAAAACTTGACAAAAATCGCACAAAATTGGGTTTTTAAACGTCCGTAAGTTTATTTAAAAAGTAGTGAGGCCATATTTTAATAGCTAAAGACACTCTCGCCAATCCAGTGAATACATTAAAATGATTCGGATCTTGATAGGTACTCTCGTTTTTCAGGAAAAGGCCGCGTAAATGGCTCTTGGGCCGTGACAGACGGAAGACAGGCTGACAGAAATTGAGATGAGACTTGTTTTGGCTTCTTTAATGTATAAAACGTAAAAATAACCTAAAAATTTATGATTCTGAGCAATGTACATACAAAACTCTAGTTTTATTTATATAGATTGTTTTAAACACATGTCTTTGTATACGGTATTTTTTCAGTTCTTTTCTTAACGCATTTGTATTTTATAATAAAAATTTTCAGCATGAAATAATAGAAAATTATTCACAACACTGTGTATTAGTATCCTTAGGAATTAAAACCCAATGAATTCTATAACATGCCATATTACTGATACTCATTCGCTGAATCACCTTTTAAAAACTGCTGTACTTTTTAATGTTACTGGTAAAACTATCTAAATCTATCAAACACTCTCCAAACATGTGTTTTTAGAGACAACGAAGCACCTCAGGCCCCTTCCTCCTACTGATGAATGGGCATTGATAGCTATACAGACACTTCCCATTCCCATTCCTGTTAGACAAATTACAAAGGGGCTGCCGACGGGACCAGTGGAAGTGCGGATTAAGAGACCTTACTTGAGACTGGGACCAGTAGAAGTAGGGTACCTGGCTTACGGGACCAGTTGAGTCTGCCCCAAAGCAACCGCCACCAAAATCGTAGTTTTTGAGGACGAGGATCCAGATTTGCACTTTATGTCCAAGGCCGCTTGTGAGAGTCAATAAATTGAAGCTATGTCTTTAGTACTTTTTAAAATATTTAACTGGCCCAAGACTTTTTTCAACCCTGTATATACAGTACATGAATGTATATAATATAGAGTGAGAGAGAGAAAGAGTGACCGGATATAACATGTCATATTAACTCCCGTGATCTTTGTAACTTAATTGTATTATTGGTCATTATTATCCAATACTTATTCTTTTGTTTTGAGTTAAGATTGCATTCCCATGTTCGGTTATTACATGATATTCTTCAACCAAGCCCATACAAACTTAAGATAAAATTGTCATTATTATTAAAAAAAACAGCATTTGCACCAAAACCGTTTACAACGACAAATCGAACGATTAGTGTTTTGACAGGAGACATGGTATAGTTATAATCAATTATATAAAGAAATCCTACTAATATTATAAATGAGAAAGTTTGGATGTATGGATGTATGTTTGTGACAAGTAAACGCATTAACCACTGGACGGATTTTGCTGAAATTTGGCATGATGATTGCTCACATTCCCGATTAACATATAGGCATATTCTTATATAAAAAATCCTTTCGGGCTCCGCCCCAGTGGCTCTATAGTTCCCCATGTTAACCTTATGAGTATTCATATTAAAAGGGAATTAAAGAATTTAGTCAGCTGTTTCAACTAAAAAGTTGGTTCTATTTATGCAAAAGCATTAAAAACTTACAAGGATTACCAACAGGGTGCAGCACTATTATTTTTTTTAATTTATGACAACAGCTAAATTTGGACCAAAAGGTGAGTGAGCGTAGCGAACGAACTTCAACCTGGAGGCGAGTTAGCGTAGCGAACGAGCTAACCTGAAGGCAAGTGAGCGCAGTGAACGAGCTCCAACCTAAAGGTGAGTGAGCGTAGCGAACGAACTTCAACCAGGACGTGATTGAGCCATGCGAACGAGCTCACTTATGAAGTAAAACGTGATTAAAATTAGACAAATTACATAGCAGTATACAGAAATATGTAGTTAGATTGTATAACATTTCAGAATATCTAATGTATTTACTGTTTGGTATTCAATTAATGAAAATTATTACATCTGAATAACGCATTTTTTAATGTACCGTACGTGCTTAATATGACTTAGAAGAAAATGTTTTGTTTAAATAACGTTAGAATTTTAAGTAATCTCTTTGACTATAAAAACAACTTCAGTATCCAATAATAGTCAATGGTAATATTTATAAAAAAATAGCATAATATTTATTTTATAACATACTTTTAATATATTTATTTTAAATTACAAACAAATTTGCTTTAAAAAAGGGGTTTCTTTTCCGAGTTTGTTTGGCTCTTCTATGCGACCGACTCTCATGATTCAGGTCTTATTTTTAATTGAAGTTATGCACTCTCAGACACCACATCAAGCATCGGCATATATGTGATTTACTGGATTACTCGATCAAAACACATAAATTTTGATTTATTTTCGAATTCTTACTTTAATTTAAGGTGCATTTCACCAGTTATAATAATAAAATCCTACATATCATGGTCTAAGAATCTCCAGTGAAATACCAGCTATCAATTGAGCTATTAGTTATTTAAATTGGACGAGTTTCAAGCAAACGCAAAGTAAACAATTAACATAATGTTTTTTATAAGGTTTTTCTATGATTGAACGTCAATAACTCCAGTATTGTTTAGGTATTTTTATATATTTCGACTCAAAATAATAAATTATAGGCAATAATTTAAGCCATTAATCGTTTGAATCCGTTAATTCCAAGATACTGTATTATTCAATCAAAATCATAGATTTGAATATTTCTTGGATATTACATTACATTTATTTTAACGCTGCGGTGTAGCATGGGTAATCTAGTTTAGTTTTTATTTTAATCAGTAGAATAATAAGTACTGCACAACTGCTACCTTAACGGCTAATGAAGTTCTATTTGGTATCAACCATACAAAATCAACACACAATATTCGTCCAGCAACTAGTGACACTGGGAAGGTGCATTGACTGCTTTGCTACCCTCCTGCAGATAATCGGGGTTGAGATATTCGGACTTCAAAATATTAACTGTAGACATGATCTAGGGGTTGCATTTGGACGGGTCAGTGTTAGGTCTTTCGTGGAAATTAGACTGGTGAATGATTGGTCCTTCCTGGAATTAGGGACACCAAGATAACTGCGCTGTACGAGCACTGCGCTGTACGAGCACGCGCTGAAACAGCACGACACCTCACAGTCAGTTTTAGTGAGAGGTACGTGGTTAATTAGAAACATTTTAACACAAATTATGATCTTCTCTTACTGGTAAGGCGCTTGGTCTATTAGCAGAAACAAGTAAAAACAGCTTAAAGCTACAAACAACTTGTTGCTGCGTAGCTGAGTGGTTTATCGGTGTTCGTCTGACAATCAAGAGGTCACCAGCGATCCTGAGCAATCTCAGCAGTAGTGTTTTGATGGCTCAAAACCAGACGCAACTGTCCTCACTCATTGGCTTATACGTAATACGTATAAGAGATAAAATCTACTCAACCACACTATACTACCTCTACTATACTGTATAGCCTACTATCTCTATATCTCTCTACCTATGATGTTCATCCTTCAATCTTCTTTGCCTTACAAATATACACTCATCTATCAGAGTCATTTGATCGGCCACTACGGTCGGTCCGATACCGTCCCTACCTAACAGTGTGTTAGTCGCTCGAGTGTGTAAAACCAGCTGTGTTTCCATAGTGGCATTGCCATTAGAAATGTTGTAGGGACGGTATCGAACCGACTGAGGCCAATCAGTACATGTTTTTTTTTTTTTAACCAATGTCGTTGGGCCGACATCGTGCCGATATCATTTCGGTGTGGTGTCGGCTAGTGTGAAAACCCAATGTTAACAATTAACACTTTTTTTTTATTAAAGTTTTAGTCACAAATAATCACCTAGCTTATAAAGTAAACGAGGATATTCTGAAAAACTAGACAAAGATAAAACATCAATGATCAATGGTCATTTGGTATGAAGTTACCTGCAACTTTAGCGTCGTAAGCGACTCCTACACCACACTTGTTGTTATTGGCTACCATCGCAATCTCGCCTGCACACATTGTCCCGTGGGAGTTGGGATGACCATTGGACGGGTCCGGATTGGAGCCAGCTCTGTTGTTGGTCATGTCGTAACTCAGGTTAGCCAACTGTCAACACCGAATAATATTAAGTACGATGGGTGACTGGAATCCTTAGTGAATATTATCAAACAAAAGTTAAAATATTAAAATTTATATTGGTTTTTAAACCATGTTGTAATGTGTTGGTCATACTTCTGTCTTAGTTCTCCTCCATTAAATTAAGCTTTCATAAATTTCACTCCATAAGTTTTCTTCTTTTGTTCTCTTCATGTTGTCCGTAATCTATTGAGGGCCTCTTTCTCAGGTGTTACTCTTCATTTGTTCAATTTATGATTGTACTGCCTGTGCAGTTTTTCTGTTGCATAAACTTTTCAACTGCGCAAAATTTAAAGGACAACTTATGGTAAAGCATCTTTTGCGTTGCAATAAATTTCATAGACCGAAACGAAAAGAAAAATCTAATTTTGACAACTGCACACTATTGAGAGCAAATCATTCAAATAATTGCTTTAAATAATAATTGTCTCAAGGGAAAACGTGCATTCTAAATATAAATTATTGTGAGAAAAATTTAGTAAATACAATTTCTTATAGAAATTTTTTTTGTAATTAATTAATACATTGATTGTGCATGAATGGTTCAGTATTATGTGAATATTCCTCTTAACTAATTTGTCAGACAGTGTATGGGGAGTTAGTTTCTAAACTTACGAAGTTACTTTGTAGATCAGGATGGCCGTGCTGTACTCCGTCGTCTACCACAGCCACTTTGACAGACTTGCCTGTGATGCCCATGCGGTACACTGGCACCAGGTTTAGGTCCATCACGGGAACATCCTTAGTACGGTAGTCTTGCTGTAAACAATCAATTTTGAATTTTTGTATTGTGTTGACCTTTGACTGTCTAGGGAAGTACATATTCCATTCCCACACAAAAGCTGTAGGCAGTTTTACACATTGAGTTGAGCCACTTACTGAGTGGACTGATGTGAATTACACACTTCAGTTGCATACCCAACTTCTTAAAAAATAAAAAAGACAACCTGATGTAAACTAAAATATATTCTATTATAAATCAAATATCATAGGATAGCAGAGCCAAAAACTAAAGGGGAAAATCAAATTTTGCAAGCAGAGTGGCACGTTTAATTATGTTTTTTTATAAAAAAAAATTGGCACAGGTTGATAAATGTGATGTTTATTTAAATATCCTATTTTAATATCAAAAAGTCAAAGTTTGAAATATAAACCGTGTTTATTTTACCATTCAAAGATGTAAATTAATCCTATTTTAATCTTATAACGATACGATGTTAAATAGATTGTCATCACAATCAGACAGGGTGCTGGAAACAAAAGTAGCATTGCATCTATAGAAATTATCAAACAAAAAGATCAAAATTGCAGTCATGTATTCACTACCTACTGTACTCGTATCAGAATCAGTATTTGACAACTTTAGTAAATGCAAAATTAGTCAAAACCCTATCGGACTTCCATTTGTTTATACCTGTCATCCTGTTTTTTTAAAGAAAATAAACTTAGATTCCTCCGCGAAAGCAAAATAACTACGAACTATATGCGTACCGCATACCACTGCTTGGTCCAGAGGGGATCGTTGAACTCATCGGCGTAGGCGCTGGGCTTGCTACTGTGACAACCGATGTGTTCAGTGGCTCCTTGGTAGGTTTTGAGGTTTGTAGCATCCACTGGTGTTGTGTCAAATGAACCCAACTTTGAACTGCCACTTGGACTTGAGCCATAGCCGCCGTATGTTCCATAAGATCCATAACTCGAGCCGTAAGATCCCGGCTTAAATGACGAAGATGACAGTGAGCCTGGCTTAAATGACGATGATGCGAGTAAGCCTGGCTTAAATGATGTGGAGGAAAAGGAGCCCTGAAAAATATATTTTTAGATTTAGTCAGAAAAAATCAATATCAAATTAGTTTCTATAACATACATTAAAATGTATGACTAATGAAAGTAATGCATTTACAATTAATCAGTGGTGAGCCAAATCGGAACCTTTCTGGATTATTCCTTGCCAATTTTAAATGTACATACAGTACAGTAAACTAGTTCCGGTAATTAAGTATAATCTTACTAATATTATAAATGTGAAAGTTTGTGTGTTTGTTTGTTTGTTTGAAGTTCAATCACGCATAAACCACTGGACGGATTGGGCTGAAATTTGGCATGATGATAGCTTACATTCCCGATTAACATATAGGCATATTCTTATCTCAAAAATCCTTTCGGGCTCCACCCCAGTGGCTCTGTAATTCCCCATGTTAACCTTATAAGTATTCATATTTAAAGGGAATTAAGGAATTTAGTCAGCTGTTTCAACTAAAAAAGTTGGTTCTATGATATGGAAAAGCATTAAAAAGTTATAAGATTTACCAACAGGGTGCAGCACTATATTTTTTTGCATTTATGAAAACAGCTAATTTGAACTAAACAGCAACAAAAAACTGTTATTCGCAATGAGAACTGTCAAAGTAGGATTGTTTACAGTTATGTTTACGTTTTTCATTTCATGAATAATTTGTGATATTTTGCGAATTGATAATTTATTTTTTTCTATTGTTTGGTGAAATGGTAGAACATTATGGCTATGGTAGATGTGTAATACTATAGAATACTGTAAATTTAAAAAAGCAAATTTTTTCAAACTGTGTCCTCCACCCATTGCAATCGCAAAGCTTAAGTATAACTGCAATAAGCATTTTATACTTATATTCCAACCCCGTACGAAGGACGGGAACTCTGCTAGTATACAATAAATAAAATATGGTACGGTAAGTAGTGTACAAAAAATGTATTATTTCAAAATAATTAGGCCTAAATAAAAATAAGCTATAAAAAGTGCATGATGAAAAGACATGTAGTAGTAATTTCTTTACCGGTTTCTTAAACGCAGAAAAGAGGGACATAAGGGCGTCGTATTCTCCACGGGCAGCTTTTGTCGTAGGGGGCTCGGGGTCAGGTACAACGCCTCTCTTGGTTCGCTTCACTATGGACTGCTGCTCTGCCCATTTCACCTGTACAGCAAAATCAGTGTGAGTACCTTCAACAATGAATGGGAAAAAATAATAAAGTGTTTGAAAGAAGTAATATTACATACACTAAAAAAAACACACACACACAATAAATACTAGGTAAAAAATAAAAGACACATCAGTGAATAATGAATCCTCTTTTAGCGAATTTCCCTATAGGGAAAGTAGCTATTACCGTAGGTCTCATGGTAAGACTTAGGCCCGGGACCGATTTACTTTTTCATTTTAATGTCCCCAGAGGCCAAAAACACCATTCGTTCAAATTTTTATATATGTATATATATATATATATATATAGGTATATATATATATATATAGATTTATATATATATATATGTGTCCGTGAACACGATAACTTGAGTAATTTTTATCCGATTTTGATGAAATTTGGTTTGAAGGTGTAAGGCGGGATAAACTTGAATGAGTTCGCGATCCAGCATGATCGGACCATGGGAACAGGGTTTTATGGGGGGTTTTATGGGGTAAAAATTGGTTTTTCTCACTTTTTACCCTCAAAACACAAAATTTCCCAATTTTTCTCTAAACCTTCTTAAAGAGCGTAAAAAAACAAACAATTCAGTATATCAAAGTGTTTTTGTACGGTTATTGGTTACGGATAAAACTAAAAAAATTGTAAATTTAAAATTCCCATGTTATTCTTATGGAGAATATTGTAAAATGTTGTATTTTGCTTGTTTTTGGATATATTTTGATCAAACTTGGCAAATTTATTTATTTTATAGTAAGCTATCAATATTTTACTAAAAACACACTACTTTATTAGTTTCCTTGTAGCAGCAAACCTAGGTACTCGTTAAACCTAATGTTATTTAAATAGATCAATTGAAAATCAATTCGGCCAAATGGAAATTCGCTTAGACGGCAGGTTTGCTGCCGCGGGGGTATTTTAAGAATAACATTAAAACTAAGTAGCATGTCAATTTTTTATATCTTCTATATATAAAGCCAAAAGTACCCATGAACTTTTGAAAAAACTACAAGTCACACCCCCATAAACCATATACATAGGATGTTCGCCATGTCGAGAAACCTTGCGCAAAATTATCCATTATTTCTTAAATTGCCCTATTTAGGTCGTAATTCCTTTCTAAAGGGAACTTTTCATATACAGTACCTAATGTTAAAAATACCTCAGCTGTACTTATTTGTTTGGTATTCTTTCAATTTATTACCTCATTAAAATCAGGTGTGATTATTTGTTTCTTTTACTGTATTTGGTTTATTTCAGGTTAACTTAACCAATCAATAGTTTTATTAATTAATACTTATGATGTCAAACGGGGTGAAGCCCGTGGGTAACAGCTAGTTTTAAATAACGTTAAATTAACCACTGCACACCTGACCTCTTCTAAATCTGTCAAGCTGCGAGTGAGATGGTGACTTCCCCTCTTGGAGACCTCAGGATGGTCATCTCTTGTAAACACGTAATGGTCTTCAAACGCATCAGCCTAAGAAACGAACAGAGATGTTAGAAACATAAGATTAATATTGAGCTTGCTTTGCTCAACACACTATTAGTAGGTATGTTTTAGAAGTAGCATGGATAAAACATTACTCCCTTGTGTTGGTTAGTCAATGCTAGTAGTCTTTGGTCTTAGTAATGGAATAAACCTAGAATCAAAATGAAAAATACCTTAAATCTGATGGAAAATCGTTACTGTAGTGTGTCATTAAATTATCTACAACTTTTGTTAAAATTCTTCATAAAATTCTTTTCTGTCTCAAATGACTTAGTAAACTCAGTTTAAAGTCTAAAACTGTGAACATTGGCTTCTTCCTTATGTTTGCACCTCAAAACAAGGCAGTTCCCATTCCATTATTAAAATATCTATTTAATTAAAAAGCTGTATATTTTACATTATAAAATAGTTAGAACAATATAAGATATTCTACGCCAAAACATTGCGATGAAATCGTAAATATCTCCTACGATCGCGGAGGACATTATCATCGTTTGCCGCAATAGTGAAATCTTTTGGACATCTCCCGCAGGCCGCGAACGCGCTGAATGCGTGGACATCTTCCGGGAATATAGCAAAACTATATGGACATCTACCGAGGTCACGGAGACATCACCACGTTTCCAGTCTTCGCAGAACCATCATGAACAACGAACATCTCCTACGACCGCGCCGACCGCGGAGACATCATCATTGCCATTCGTGATGCCACGAAATAGCTAATTGTTAGATCAAATCCCGCCCCGAGAAAATCTGAAATTGAATGTAATCCCGTCTTGAAGATCAAAAACACATCTTCATTCAAAATTTCCCGAAATTTCGGCACCTGTTCATCCCTATCTATGACATGTAACTTACTATAATGTCTTTAATCCAGCCTTACTCCATCGAACCTAACCTAATACATAGGTACTAAAGATACTGTTTGTTTTGACAGGAACAAAAATCTCAACAAAACAACTGATCAGCTGTAATATCTCTGTAATCACTTTTGGTCAAAATATGTTGGGAATCGGCTGCTTGGTACGAGTTGAGGTTATATTTACTTCGATGAATTCGAAGCCTTGAAATTGTCATTTTATGTGCTATTCCGTCTCTCTGTTGGACCATAAGCTTTAAAATGACATTTAAATCGTAAAAATCGGTTAAAGTACGGGATATAAAGGAGTGTTACAGAGAAAACCCCATTAATGTATTAAGTAGAAGTCGTCAGTTACATTAAAAGCACAAAAGTTTTCTGACAAGTTAATGTAATATAACCATTTAAATTATATCACCTATAAACTAACAATGGTGATAAGTTAAATGTGGACATTAAATTTGGTGATGTACGTTGTACGTAAAGTGTATCATGACTTGTTTCTGCGACTCAATTCATCATTGGCTCCCTTACCTAACAACGATTGATAGACCTTGCAGGGTGCCTTCCAAATTAACGCTCAACTTTTCAATTTAGCTTTGCTTTTCAATTGGTTGTCTGCGCAAGTAATACTGTTTTAGCTATGTAAATTGTGTGTTTTTTAAAACAAGCCATAAAAAATAGTTAATTATACCCATTTTACCACATGTGTTTTTGTTAATTATTAATTACTAGCTGTGTGCCCGTTCTACGCACGGGTATCTTATAGTAGTCAGTTGAAACCTTCTTATATTAAGATTAAGAACAGCAGTTAGTTTGCATATTTGCAGATATGCTGGCAAAACTATTATATATAAACCTTCACAAATACAGTATCTGACAGTTCAAGCCAAAATAAATGCTTCGCAATTAAATGTCACCCGGATCGTTATGGTCCATATGTCCAATGATTAAACTAAAAAATGTTTTATAGATCCATGAAGCGTAGCCCTAAAGTAGGCCTATAATTGAAAGTTACTTTCCACATCGGTTAACTTAAACGTATTTAAAGTACTACCTCAACCTCACCATTTAACACTTTATTCCGGTTGACATTTTCAGTATCAAAGGTGCTCTTGTCCATTCCGTGAAACACTGAGAAATAAGGACATTAATGCGTTACCAACAGACATACACACAACAATCCAAAAAAGGCCACGAACTATTGATACATAAACAATATAAAGGCGTAAACAATTCATGATGGTTTGCCCAACAAATGTTTTACTCAAAAGGTTATCATTTTCTTAGCATACCGGGTAAGCTAAGATTTGGAATCCAGACAGAAAAAGCAAAACTTATACAGAGTTAAGACATCACTTAAATTGAATACGGACGGCTCTAATAAATAAGGTGCAACACCAACGATAACTAATTTGTAAACTACAGTGATGTGTTGGTACCTACGTAAAAATGATTCTAGCAGCTACCAACGGTTCTAAGGAAAAGAACCAGTACCTACGTAAGAACCTACCTAAGAACTATAGTACATCCAATTAAATACATTAATATCTAGTCCCGAGGTTATTGATCTCTTGCTTTTGGATTTTCTCGTAAAAAGTTATAGCGTAAACTTATCGGTGTCAGTTTGAAAAAAAAACCTTACCCAAACAACTTTTTGTTATTTAATAGATTACGCATTCTCTAAACAATGATTAGTATATCTATTAACATTAGAAGGAAATGTGACGAAAATCACACAATGTTGGGGTTTTGGTCATTTGTAATTATATTTCTTAAGTAGGTAGGCCATGTATTCTATGGAAATGTACCGGTATCAAGGATCGTCGCCAAAAAGGTTGTTATGAATAAATATGTAGGCTTACGTACCCAAGATATGAGCTATGGGCCTATTGGCTGTATGGTCCAGCGATTGCATCACACGGTGAGTAGAAACAGAAAGTGACACATTGGAAAAGCGAGTTTAGCACTTCCTCTGTTAAACCTCTGTTACAATCACCCACTGCAGTTGTGATTTTTTACTTTACACTTTGCACAACCGCCATTGAAGCGCCGTCAATGAGTGGAAACCTTTTTTGTAAGCTATTGGCGACGATCATTTCAGTGTCCAGCCCTATACAACACTGATTCAAGGTCTTCTTTCTGGTTGTCAAAACTCAAGAAACATTTTATACTCAAAGAATTTCTGGTTCCGATTTGGACGATGTCTAGTTATTTAATTTTATTTACGGTTACACTATTAGACTATATTATTGCACTTGTGCGATTAATTAAATCCGTTATGTAAGAAAAACGTTTTTAATCTCACTTGGTTGGGATTTGCTTTCAAAACGTGATTCGAAATGGTTGCGGTATTTGTAAACAACATTTGTAAACATATCATTGACAGCTAGAAAAAATAATCTTGATCCGAACAGCTGTTCGTTATTTCATAGACGATTAAGTGATAAAAATTGAACGAAAATTTGACCAAAATCGCACAAAACTGCATTTTTGAACGTCCGTAATTTTATTTACAAAGTAGTGAGGCTATATTTAAATCACTAAAGACACTCTTGCCAATCCAGTGAATACATTAAAATGACTTGGATCTTGATAGGTACTCTGGTTTTCACGGAGAAGATTGCGTAAAATGCCATCTTGAGTGTTACAGACAAAGGGAAAGACAGACAGACAGACAGACAGAAATAGAGCTAAGACTCGTTTCTGCTTCTTTAATGTATAAAACGTAAAAATAACCTAAAATTATATAATTCTGAGCAAAGTACAGACAAAACTCTAATTTTATTTATATAGATTATTAAAACATTTTTATTAGCTCGCTTTCTTGTCCGGTACAAATTTTGCAATCAATTTTAGACTAACTTCCCGATGAGCTAGATACTTGAAACTTGAAACATAGCTCACAAATGGAAGACAATGCAATATTATATCATTTAGTTTTCATATTTCCCCTGGGCTACGCCCCATGTGCTTGTTTTCATTAACTAGCTTTCTTGCAAATTTTGATACTTCCCGGTGAGCTAGAGACTTGAAATTTGAAACATAGCTCACAAATGGATGACAATGTAATATTATATAATTTAATTTTCATATTTCCCTTGGGCTACGCCCCATGGGCTTCCAAATTTGCTATGTTTACATTTTGAAAGAATGTAAATATATGAATTAATTTAAGTCAGCTGTAAATACTTAAATTTGACAGTTCGAAGAGCAGAGGTTAAGAGGTACAGGTTCTGCTCCCAAGAGATTCTTTATACAAACAAACATTTCAAAATAAAGATAAACAATCTGATTGCAGAAATAAAGGTGTTAGTTAATAATGTCAATTGTTATTTATTTATTCTTCTATAAAGTAAACAATAAATTAAATAGATTTATATATTTATAGTTAGTAGGTAGGCCATTCATTCAATCTAATAAATAATTATATGAAAAGAAACTCAAATAAACCTTAGATTTCCTACATGTCTTAATCTGATTTACATGCTTGAAATAGATTTAACATCCACACACATTATAAACTAAATAAAAAGTATAAAATAGTTTATAAATAAAAAACTTTTTTAAACAAAACGTTTTTAAACGCACTAAAAAGTATAAAATAATTTATAAATACGTGGAGGGTATGTGGGGTAGTTGTAAGATTTCAAACTAAAAACGTGGGGTGCATGCAATTGATAATAATACGTTAGTTCAATAGGTGAAGGTAATTGTAAATTATGTATTGCATGCACCCCACGTTTTTCGTTTTAAATCTTACAAGTATTTATACTCTCCACATACTTATAAATTATTTTATACTTTTTAGTGCGTTTAAAAACGTTTTGTTTTAAACAAGTTTTTTATTTATAAATTATTATTTTACTTATCCACTACAAATGTTTAATAAAATCGCACTTGTATAATTATTTCCTTATCTACATGAATTAGGCTTACCAACGACTCATTATTTAACTAAATCGGTCCAGTTTAAGTCTAGAATTAGTTGTAAAAAATTTAAAAAAATATATCTAACTCAGCATTTTTTCACCACTATAAATTCGGAGGTTGCTTAGCTTGTTTGCAAATTACTTTTGAAATAGCGAGGAAATCGACCAAAGTAGAAAGGTGATCTTCTGAAAGAGAATAAAGTTTCCTACACATTTTTATCATGCTTTTATTAAAAATACTTAAAAATAAACGGTATCAACATTCTGACACATACTTTCAACCATAAGTTTGTCAACAATCTTTATCATGTGTGAGAGTAAATATACAAAAATGGGATTTGTACAATTTTGTTCAGAATTTAAAGACTATAACATACAACATTTTTAACAAAATTGTACGGGCTATTTTTGGGAATATCCGATTTTACCGTTATTTTATGGGGGTTTTATGGGAAAATAACATAATTTACAATAACTTTTGAACCGTAATTTTTACAAAAATGGGATTTGTACCATTTTGTTCAGAATATAAAGGAAAATAACATTCTAAATTTTTATCAAAATCGTTCGGGCCATTTTAGGGAAAATCTTATTTTTCCGTTTTTTTATGGGGTTATATGGGAAACTCCCCATTAAAAATCTAAATTTCCAAAAAATAAAAAAAAAACTATCACAATTGTAAGGACCATAACATACTATGTAAAATCAAAACCAGATTTTTTTCTAAAATCCTATTTTTCGTTATTTTATGGGGGTTTTTATGGGAAAATAACATAATTTACAATAACTTTTGAACCGTAATTTTAACAGAAATGGGATTTTTACCATTTTGTTCAGAATTTAATGGGCTACAACATACTAAATGTTTATCAAAATCGTTCGGGCCATTTTTGAGAAAATCCGATTTTTCCGGTTTTTTATGGGTTTTATGAGAAAATCCGCATTAAAAATCAAAATAAAAAAAATGAAAAAAAGCCTGGAGATACCATGTATTAGAACCTACCTAATGTAATCAAAATCGGACTACAGGTGTAGTTCCTAGCTCTGTACACATCCAGACACACATACACAGACATCACTTCGAAAACCACTTTTTTGGGTCCAGGGGGACCCAAAAGGAATATATCCACTCAAAACTCAAACTCGAAAATTTTGACGAAAACAATACTTTCTCCACATACTATGGTGTAGGGGGAGAAAGTAAAAAGCAGCCAAAAGTTGCCTAAAAATGAGAAAAATGTGTTGTTTTCAATGTTCTTAAGGAAGCGTGTTTTTTTTCACATTAAATCATAAAAAAAACTTTTATAATTATTTGCAGATCTACACGAATTAAGCTTTCCAACGACCCATTTATCATATTCCTACGTACTCTTATATGAGCAATGTTAATACTTGTGCTTAATAAATACTTGTATACTCGTATAACTATATATAAGTAGATGACTTATCTACGTAAAAAAGGAGCCGTAGGTGAAAACAATAACATACGAGGTTTGTTTTATCATCTCCATTATCTTATCTAAACATATGTTCACGCACTTTTTTTTACAGCGATGGAGGTTGTAAAAGGACCATAGCAGACTAAATTTGAATCAAAATTGTTCGGGCCGTTTTTTTAAGAACAATTTCCCGTTTTATGGGCTTTTATGGAAAAATACCAGTTAAAATAAAAATTTGAAAAAAATGAAAAATATCATGGATTAGTACATACTAAAATTCATCAAAATCGGACCACAGAGGCTGTGGTATGTATGATGTAAATCTGTACACATCCACACAAACATACGGACACATACATACATCACTTCGAAAACCACTTTTTTGGGTTCAGAGGAACCCATAACTGATAAATCAACACAAAACTCAAACTCGAAAAGGTTGACTAAATCAACAATTTTCCATTTATTTTACTATGTAGGCCTATAGGGATGCAATCAATAAAACACGTGTTAGATATTTATTTTAACCAAATATGTACCATATGAATCTTAGCCTCACGAATATGACCAATGATGAACATTTGAACAGAATATCACCATCGACTATTGGATACTAGGCTATATATGATATAATATAATATAAACTGTTCTAAATATTCGTGGCCTATATTGGATTCAATTGATTCAACCATAACGTACGTCAATTTTATTATTTAGTAACGAGCGTTTTCAATAATTTCTTCAACGTTGGATCAATAAGTTGAAAGTCGGCAAAGCTACTCAGAAGTCACGTCCGGGTTATTAAACATTACTTCAATCAAAAACACGATTGGTGGTTGTTAAATGTTTATTAATTTTAAATTCAAACAAGTTTAAAGGTTTTTTAATTTTACTTGTTGAATCTAACTGCAAGTAACTGACTATTAATTTCACCTCGGCACCAAATGTATGTATATTTCTGAAACCATTAAATTGTATTGACAATCAACGATAATACTGATTTTGGTTCTTAGGATACATTGTTGATATTGTTTATTTTGAAGAGCAGTAAATTTTTGCCGTGATTTGTGTTCTTCTTCGTCTAACTAGTAACTAGTTGCGTTAAAGCTGCGTTTTCGGAACCAACTGAACACGGAAGGGTCAATTACACGTGTTTTCCTAACGGCCGAATTGTGGAAGGAAAACTCAGTGCTCGCTCAATATTTACCATTTCACAGCTTCATTGAATACTTTTCAATGAAGTTTTTTTCGAGGCCCCCTACCCCGTCAAAATTTTTTTATATATGGTACATATAAATAATTATTAAAGATGTGTTAAAATGAAAATTGCATTTCTCAATGAATTTCAAATTTGTAGTGTGAATTATTTTACTGAGGAAATTTATGTATGTAAACCCGAAACACTGTTCACATTAGGTATTAAGCAACATTGGACATATTTTAAAATCTTACAAAGATTTTCTTAGCCTCACTGTACCGTCATGCACTACAAAGAACGATCACTTTTAAACATTGATTTTGAAACTAAGTACTGCGCAGTGTTACCAGTTACGAAAACATACTCATCTAAAGTTTAGCGTCTAGCTGTCTAATGTTTAGCTGTCGTTAAGTTGACTTAACGATTTTCCCTTATAGTAGTCTAATAAAAGTAAAACTCTTAGCTTACGCAACTAAAAAAAGTGGAGTTGGCTAATATATGCTATAGCATAATATAAGCTCTAGTTAAACACAGGCTACAATTCACTCAAACATGCAGTATTTAGAACAATTACATTAAGTGGGTATCAAGAAAGTAAGGAGAGGTTAATCGCTACCAAACTAGAAGAGGAATTAGTGCGTCTTCATTTAGCCACATCTCTAGTGGATTGGATTCCAAATATAGAAGTTTCTATTTAAAACTATATTCTGGGGTGGTTGTTTGGGTAAAGACGTCTTGCTAATACAAAAAATTGCAATGTATATGTGATTTTTTCATCTTGGGAGGAAGATAGACGTGCACTAGTTCATAAGGTAACGTGTAAAATATTTGTCAATGTTTCAGACATAAAGGCACTTTCAATGATATATTCACCCAGCGACTACCCTTTTTAGGTCCTCCAACCAATGTAACGACAGCTTAAGTAGGTACCTAATGTATTATAATTGTGTTTAAGGTTCTAGAACTTTAAAAACAATTGAATTTGTATTATATTGCGATAGTTCACAAGTTCTCTCACTTCGGTCGTGGTAACGCCTGTCGCCAAGTCCACTAGAATGCTCTTATCCGAATGTCAGTGGAAGAACTGCGGCTGGAAGTTCGCACGGACAGACGAGCTCACTCGCCATTTCACACGAAAGATAGATTGTTTGGGCTATACTGTATTATTTCTCGCCTTCAAATCTGGAGGTTGCTGGTTTAACTCCAAGTAAGATTGTAACTGGTTCCAGATGCAATTTGTCTTTGGGCTATGAATTAATGGTGCTATCTAATGAAAGGTTGACGCAAGAAGAATCTCAATCTAACATAACTGTGAGGTAGATACATACCTTGCCACCGTACGTGTAGCCTAGGTCTCGCGCCACTCTCTGTGCCACCTGCTCTCCACCATCGACCTCGGCGATCCACATGTTGGTGAACTCTGTGGCCGAGGTAGACATCAGACACACACAGACCAGCACTCCTACTCCTAGCCAGGGGATCTCCATGCTGCGCAACAAAGTTATGTATTAAATCATGGAATCACCTTGCTACAGTCCCATTAATCCAACTTATTGGATCCGGACCGTGTTTGGATTACAAAAAGAATTTCGGATCAGCCAGAAATGCAATACAATCGAATAATATGATGGGACTTTTATTTTTTTATGGATGTACCTTGCCATTTATTGTTTCCGCGATCACGACGATATCGTGATCGTCTCCCGCGATTGCGGCAACATCGTGATTGTCTTCGGCGAACGCGGAGATATCCTTCATCTACCGCGATTGCATTCTTGTTAATTCAAGACTGCTCTAAAGACAACCAACAGAAAGTCGTTAATGCATGGACGCCAGACCATAGGTTTTTTGGAATTTCTCGAAAATTTCCAGTTCTAAACAATATGTATGTACCATCACAGAAAACATACTACTATAACCTTATATTAGTTATGGTAGTTAGGTTATAGTAGTATGTTTTCTGTGGTACCATTCATGGGCTTTTCCCAGGTCATAACTTTCACGTACAATTCCAGGATGCATATTTACGTTTCCCGGTCGGCTGGACACCTTTGTTTGTCATCACGACTATTTTGAAATTTCAAATTGGACCAATCTTATATTTATTTCTAAAATAGGGCACGTTATCCTTAAAATACTCATCCAGTGTCATAAAGATCGTTCAAAGCAAATCTATATAAATAAAATTAGAGTTTTGTCTGTACATTGCTTAGAATAATGAACTTTTTGGTTATTTTTACATTTCATAGGTCAGAGAAACCGAATCAAACCTTATCTCAATTTCTGTCTGTCTGTCTGTCTGTCTGTCTGTCTGTCTATCTGTCATTCTCTTGGTAACGCTAAAATACGCACTTTATTACAACTACTCCTCAATAACTATAGCACTGTCCCGCCTGAAACTTATTTTCCAAATACTATACATATATGAGATGGTTTTAGACGTATTTCATCGAATATGAGACAGTTAGATATTTAACAGTAAACCCTTGAAAATCAAGTTTTTGTCGATTTTTGACGTGGAATTTCTGGAAGCCCATGTTAACCTTATGAGAAATGAAATTATTGAATCTTAACAGCTGTTTCAATTAAACAAGTTGGTTCTGTTCTGTGATGTTCAATAGCATTAAAGTTACAAGGATTACCAACAGGGTGCAGCACTAGCACTATTATTTCTTTTACATTTATGACAACAGCTAATTTGCAACCTGGAGGCGAGTGAGCGTAGCGAACGAGCTAACCTGAAGGCAAGTGAGCGTAGCGAACGAGCTAACCTGAAGGAAAGTGAGCGCAGCGAACGAGCTCCAACATACAGGTGAGTGAGCGTAGCGAACGAACTTCAACCAGGACGTGATTGAGCCATGCAAACGAGATCAGATAGTAAAAATAAAAGTAAGCCTACCGTTATAGGATCGACCGGCAGACACAGAGGTAATTTAACCTTTTATTGATTGTCATACCGATCCGGAACAACAAAAAACAACATAAAATGAAGCTATGTATAATAGTTTGGCCAGCATATCTTAAAATATGCAAACCAACTGCTGTTCGTTATATAAGAAGGTTTCAACTGAATATTATAAGATCCCCGTGCGTAGAACGGGTACACAGCTAGTTCAAGATAAAATTTGTTATGTATCAAAAACAAAATGGCAGATATCTAGGTAATATGCCTGTTCAGACATACCTTTTATAACCTTTTTTGTATGAGAAATCACATCCCAAAGCCCTAACACTTTATTTTAGTATACCCTGTATAATATCCACAGAATACATATTTGTATCCATAAACTTAGTACATACTTAATAGTCCTAGTTAACGATTGGGTAATTTTTTGGCGAAAATCTACGAACGTTTTTGAATTATTTTTTATGTTAAAGTACAATAAAATACTGTAAATAGTAAATCATGTTAAATAAATGATAATGTTTTCAAGAGTCAAAAACGTAATAGCATGTCTCATACCTGTGTGAGTCTAGAGGGAGAAGAGTATTTATTGTAAACGTGACCGATATATAAATTGGACCGAAACATCGTTGGAATAACGAAACAGATAATCCAGCAATCAATGAAGTCCAATACTAGCTTTATGTATATGTATGCAAATCAGGACCGACATTTTTTTACTAGGTCTTCAACATGAGTCATGCTACAAAACCAAAACCAGTAACTATTTTTAGTCAATAGTAAAACAACGTTTTTCTAATAGCCTATTCGTAGGCTTGAGAAATAAGTATATTAAAATAGATTATTTAATTATTTGTTCTAGTTCCAATCTTGCAAAGAAAATCAGTAAAATACTGTAAATATTTAATCGGTGGTATTTTCCTAATGTCCTGTAATAATTTTGGTATATTCTTTGATCAATTGTTTACAACCGAAGGTTTTTTCCTTTGTACTGTGCTGTAGACTGTATAACAGTTTGCTAATCATGGCATGATTCTTTGTTTACATATACGTTGTTATCTTGTAACCATCATAGCAGCCCATAAGGCTAATGTTGAAAATGTAAAAAAAAACTTATGCTAGTTTAAAATTATACAGGCATTATCAAATTGTGTTTTATATATAACTAGCTGTGAGCCCGTTCTACGCACGGGGATCTTATTGTAGTCAGTTATTGAAACCTTTTTATTAAGAACAGAATTTGGTTTGCATATTTTCAGATATGCTGGCAAAACTATTATACAGTATATAAACCTTCGCAAATACAGTAACTGACAGTTTCAAGCCAAAACAAATGCTTCGAAATTAAATGTAACCTGGGTCGTGTTGGTCCATATGTTAAATCCAATGATTAAACTAAAAAATGCTTTATAGATCTATGAGGCATAGCCCTAATGTAGGCCTATAATTGAAAGTTACCTTCCACAATGGTTAAAAGTATTTAAGGTACTACTTCAACCTCCCAATTTAACACTTTATTCGTGTTGACATTTTCATTATAAAGGTACTTTTGTCCTTTCCGTGAAACACTGAGAAATAAGGACATTAATGCTTTACTAACAGACATACACACAAAAAAACAGAACTTAATTAAGCATAACAAAGTACTTGTAAAATTAGTATCTAAAATATTTTGTTAATGTCATCAAATTTCATCATAACAATGTATATTTGCTTGGACCGATGATGACCCGAAATGACGGCTTACTATATGAAATTAAGACGACTGGTCCAGGGTGGTCCAGCCACCCTGGTATAGACGATTGGTAATTTATAGTAAATATTACCAAAATAGGCCACTAACTATTGATACATAAACAACGTAAAGCGTTTAAACAATTCATTATGGTTAGTTGAATAAATGTTTTACTAAAGTGCGTTATCGTTTTCTTAGCATAAACTAACATTTTGGAATCAAGAAAGAAAAAACAAAAATTGTACAGTTAAGACATCAATTAAATTGAATACGCCTGTAATAATAAATAAGGTGCAACACCAACGATAACTAATTTGTAAAGTACAGTGATGTGTTGGTACTTAAAAATGATTCTTGCTACTACCAACAGTACCAACGGTTCTAAGGAATAGAACCGGTACCAAAAACCAACGTTCACAGTTGAGAACTATAGTACAGCCGACCAATTATATGAGTTAATCAAGTCCCGAGGTTATTGATCTCTTGGTTTTTGATTTTCTCGTAAAACGTTTTAAAACGGCAATCAAAGTTATTTCCCAATAATTGCTTTATTTGTAAACAACTTTTAATGTAAACTTATCTGTGTCAGTTTAAAAAAAAAACAACCTCATACAAACAACTTTTTGTTATTTAATAGATTAGGCCCTACGTACCTATTCTCTAAACAATGATTGGTAAAGGCTATCTAATAACATTAGAAGGAAATGTGACAAAAATCACACAACGTTGGGTTTTTGGACGTTTGTAATTTTATTTCTTAAGTAGGTAGGCCGTGTATTCTAGGGAAAAGTACCGGTATCAAGGATCGTCGTCGAACAGTTTGTTAGGCCTGCCATACACGTTCCGTCCCGGCCTCAAGGCCTGGCCTTGAGGCCGGAACTGCACAGTTTGGCCGGAGTCGTGACCTCTCCACACACGCTCAGTCCGGAACTGCACAGTTTGGAGTTTTGAGACGATTTTATTTTTTTTTTTTCAACTCTATTCTAAACGCACTTCTTATTATTTTTTTAACCACAGTGTCTTTCGTGACTTTTGGGTCCGCCTTCTTCACAAAATCCAATAATTCTTGATAGGCTGCTTCCCTCATTTCCCTGTTGTGGAATTCTTTGTTTTTTTTATTTTCCAGATGCATTCGTGACCTCGGTATTTCTCTATGAATTCGAGTGTCAAGTCTCTTGACCAGGTAGACATGATTAATGTGAAGTACTTATCGAAATCACTACACAAAACTACAACGCCAAAATGCGAAAACATAATCTATACCAACAAAACAACAAACAACACAACTCCGATTATGCTTTCACCAGTAGTTGACTGACGATGAAAAAAGGATGCGAATGCGATAATGCTTAAAATTTATAGGGGGAGGGGGGAAGCAGCACTGTCTTGGACTGCGGGATTCGCCATACACGTTCAAATCGGCCTCAAGGCCGGGCCTGGCCGGACGTGTTTCACATCCGGCCGTCCGGCTAACGATCTGCCTGAAGGAATCGACATACACGTTCAGTTTTTCCTTCAGTCCAGGACTGTACAGTCCGGGACTGAAGGAAAACCGGAACGTGTAAGGCCTACCATACACGTTCCGGTTTTCCTTCAGTCCCGGACTGTACAGTCCTGGACTGAAGGAAAAACTGAACGTGTATGTCGATTCCTTCAGGCAGATCGTTGGCCGGACGGCCGGATGTGAAACACGTCCGGCCAGGCCCGGCCTTGAGGCCGATTTGAACGTGTATGGCGAATCCCGCAGTCCAAGACAGTGCTGCTTCCCCCTCCCCCTATAAATTTTAAGCATTACAGTATCGCATTCGCATCCTTTCTTCATTGTGAGTCAACTACTGGTGAACACAT